TACACAGGACCCAGAATGGCACGAGTATGCCAACATCCTGGTGACAAGCGAGGAGCTCAATGCCGAGGAGAGGTTGCGCCTGCAGCTTTGGGACTCTGACAAGTACACTGCGGATGACGACCTGGGTCGTGTGGAGGTTGACCTTAAAGAATTGATGAACAACTCGCAGAGTCACAACCGAATGCAGGACCGCGAGGACAATTTCACTGCACAGGACCCGGACGAGAAGATGCCTGGCTCCCTGCAATGGTCTGTAGGTTATTTCTCAAAGGTCAGGATTACACAAGCGGAGCTTGAGAAGCAGACATTCAACAAGAAGGTCCGCTCCAAGGAGGAGCTCAAGAAGTACGTCTCCGACCTGTCGGCCAACAAGCTCCGGGAGGCCGGTAAAACGCCTGCCAATGACGAGCTTCACCAGCAGCATGCCCAGGATTACGCCGAGGTGGAGGAAAACATGATCATCTCCGCCCCTCCGAGCCAGGAGTTTGTCTCTGGCATCCTCAGTGTGCAGATCCATAATATCACTGGTCTCGAGGTGCAGAGACTCAACAAGAAGGCAACCGGAGATGGCGATACGGACGGGGAGGAAACGGAGACGGACGACGACATGCCGGACAGCTACTGCACCATCATCCTGAACCACAAGAACATATACCGCAGCCGCACGAAGCCGAAGAATTCGAAGCCCTTTTTCAATGCAGCCACGGAGAAGTTCATTAGGGACTGGCGGAGCACAGAGATCATCGTCTCGGTGCGCGATGCTCGCGAGCGTGAGGATGACCCCCTGATCGGCATCGTTTACTTGCCATTGGCCAAGTTGTTTGCGAACAGGAGTCAAGTCATGGATACATACCCCCTCGTTGGTGGCGTTGGTTACGGTCGCGCGAGGATCAGCTTGGTCTGGCGGAGCGTAGAGATGAAGCTGCCACCGAAGTTGCTCGGATGGGACTATGGTACACTGGAGATACGGGGGGCAGTCAGGGCCAAGGGTCAGCAGCTGGAAAAGCACCTCAAGAGCAGGCTCAAGATCCGCACTGATCTCGGCAAGGTGAAGATGTACCCCGGCGATACCCAGGGCTTGTGGACGCTCAAGAAGCGCACGGACAGCAAGGAAAGTTCGTTCTTGCCAGTTTGCAAGCGGTATGCCTCAGCGCTCGTCATCGAGTTTCGCGAATCCCACCTCGGACCAGACAGGTCACCTGCCTTTGCGGTGCTGTGGCTTACAGACCTCGTTGACGAGGAGGGTGAGACGAAGACAATTCAGGTGTGGAAAGGTGGAAAAGACCGGCTTGCCCGGGCCAAGCACAACTGTGACTACCGCGGCTTGGACGAGGGTGAGCAGCCGCTGGGGGAGGTCGAATTAGATATCAAGTTCTGGCGCGGTCTGTCCGGATATCACAAGAGCTTCGCTGCGAGCTCCAAGAAGGGTAGCATGAAGAGCGTGATGGAATGTCTGGACACCATAACCGATGAGAACCTCGGCAACGACGATGACGACGATGACGGATGCGATACGGACGATGAGGGCGACTCTGACGACACCTCGGAACAGTCAAAGAGCAGCGACAAGGCAGCGCGCAAGAGACTCAAGGTCCACACCAACGACTCCTCCTCATCCTCCTCCCAGGAAGACAGCGACGACGAGTCATCACCCACGAGCGGCCATGGCCACGGTCATAACAAGTCCTCGATCTCCCTCTCGAGACTGCGCAAGGCACCCAAGAAGATACTCCGCAACCCCGTCGACGGGACCGCCCACGCGGCGGCGTCCCTCATAGCCCCTGGCCATAACGACCCCGATGATGCGTCTAGAGGAATCAGGAACCAGCTGCGGGACTATAAAGATCATCACAAGCAGCTGCACCGCAAGCACAGGGGCATTATGCAGTGGAGGGTGGCCAGGGAGGCGGACCACCTGGGCACGAAACTTAGTGATCTCAAGGGGAACGTGAGCTCGTTGTTCAAGCATAATGATAAGGATACTGGGGTTGAGACGGAGGTTTGAGTGTGGGGAAGCTGGGGAGGTTTGTGGTTGTAAGAGTAGGGGGATACTGCATACCTAAAGGGGTCTTGGAGGTTTCAGTTGCGGTGTAGATTGGACATGGGCGGGATATGGCTATCGGCGTTGATCAAAAGCATCAAACAACAGCCCTTGAGGCCATTGTAGATTGATCTCCAACGCTTGGGCTGAGCATGGTTATGCTTATGGCTTTGGCGCCGAGACGTAGTAACGAATTAATACCTAGCCACTTGCATTACGTATGTCTTTGTCTTTTCGTACCTAGAGACTTGTCTGGAGTTGTTACGTGTAGTGTTAGGTTGGTGAGACGTGATTTCGTGGGAGAGAGGATGGACGGTTCTAAGGTTATAACCTTTTTACTGGCTTGATGTTTGATATACTTTGGGGCGTAGGGGGGGGGGGAGCTATCTAGCTCTGTCTTTGAAAGTCTACTGTATGCTACTGTAGGATACTGTATCGTTAAATAGCAAATATGTCACGATACCGAGCGTGGAGTTTCGGATAAAGCAACTTGACTACCCTTCTGAATTATTGAAAATAGGCGTGGGAGGCTCACAAAAGGAGCTTAGTAACAGTATGTCTGAGCCCCTGATAGGCCAGATACGTGACAAAAGAGAAATCGAAACGGGGCACTATTAAAGAAAAAGGAGGGGGTAAAGAGGAAGAAGAACACAACGTAAGGGAAAGAGTTTCAGACCGTTCGACCTTCATGACGCTGTTCGAGATGAGCAAATAAGTACCCGGACCGTCTTCTCTTGACAAAGGTGCCACCTCTGTACAGCATTGCCCTTCAAACTCGCACATAAACTAAAAATCCAAAGTATGTTAGATCTCACGCCAGAACTGCATGTCTTTTCCTGGCGTCGTCCGTCGGTTCATGACAACTAGGCTGTAGCCCCCCTATTCCCTCACCTACATCATGCATTTGAGTAGGTTAGGTAGGTAGCCCACGACGGCTCCATGGCTGCCCTCGCGCCTCGAGAGCCAACATTGAATAGGCTTGACTCTAAGGCTCGAGGGCCATTCTACTAGTTAATCCCTATCTGGAAAACTATGTTAGTCATGCCATGAGACTATAGTGTAAAGCTCTTTTGTAACTTACGGCAATAGCAGTAGTCTTCATGCGGCATGCGTCTTTCCCTGCAACCGCCCGTTTTGCAAACGTCTATATACCGATTTAGGATAATTAATTATTCCAGGTTGAATATTAAATACTAGAATATCGATCACTTACGAATTGCACACCAATTCCCATACTCCCTATACCCATTGCAGCCTGGTTCCATGCAAACATCTATAGACGGCCGTTGTTCGTATTAGAAAACATATAACTTTGCTTGGTAGGTCATGTATAGAATATATACTACCCTAGGGTGATTAGAAGATAACTTACGTATAGAACAAAACTCGGTGTTATTAAACCTTTCGTTCTTGCAACGGGTGCAACGGTCTATATTCACGATAGGAGTTAGTATGTATATCTATAAGATGTGAGATCTTTCAAGCGATACATACGCCGAGTGCAGTAGCCGTTTGGGGTGAGATCCCGGCAGCCGGCTGCACGGCACGGTCTCCGATTTGGGATATAAATCAAGCTCATGGTTATATTGATATACAATCACGGATCGAGCTGATATGGCAAGGGTGGCCGTTTATACGATGTTGGTAGTCTGCCTTGAAAGGGGAGGCAAAGTAAGATGGGAAAAAGAAACAGGCAAAGTAGGACGAGGAAAGAAATACTTTGAATATAGGCCTAGATACAGACATGTGCAAAGTGGAATTGGCTCGTGTAACACACCTTCAAAGATTCTCAATACCCTTTCAAGATAGTATATATACACGAGGCTGGAGGCTGAACGTCCTATCCGTATTTGATATGCAGCGCGAGACTCAAATAGACGGGCGCTGAACCCAGACAGGGCGTAAGATGGACTTGCCGCAACACCTTCCCTTCGCAGGGCAGACGCTCTTGAACATCTACATCAGACCATACCTAAGTGGGAATCACTAATTACTCTGCCAGCGTCCCAGGAGGGAGCCTTAGCTGGCCCGTCGGCCTTCACAGCTCCCCTTCAGAAAGTACCATACAGCTAGCTCCTCTTCATAGGGACAGTGGCATACCCCGACAATACACCCTCAAAGAGATGACAATCTTGTGTCCCTCCCCAAGGTCATCATGCCTGTGACAACGATAGTCGAACTTCCTTGACGCTCTAGTGACTAGAATAATTATGCTCCGCACATCCCCCCTTAGCGAACTAAACCTGGCCACTAGGGCAATACATCTTGTGGAAAAGCTCCCAATGTATAATTATAGCTCGTCGTGGCAGCCATCCATAAGGCCTCACGTTGTAGGCTACTAGCAGGGCTATCTGCTATATTGACGCCATGGGCCATAACCTTCTAGTCCGTCTGTCCTCGCCCACACGGCACTTAAGCCTCAGGAACAACGCCCGCTTTGAGACGAGTGTGCTACAGAGTGCGTACTAGGTGTGAAGGCACACTCCGGAGTCAATGGGTGCGGTAGCGTCACCAGTACAGATAACTGTCCGGAGGGGGAGAGCTTATTCGTATTCGTTCCTGCATATTTCATATACTGGGCCCGTCTGCCGTACTTGGTGATGGTAGTCAGGATGGCTTACACACTGTCATCCATCCAATCCCGTCCCTCGGTGATCCCGCATCTGCGCAGCAACCACCGCCTATAGTGGTCGTAATTACTCGCAGTGGCATACTTGGCCCCCCCTCCTCCGCACCCCCCCTCCGCCGAGAGCAGCCGACTCAGAGTATCAATTTCACACAAGGATATATAACTTAATTACTACTGCTCGCGTCACAACAAGCGAGGATCACATAGCCTATGTCATGGATGAACCGCTGCCTCTTTGCAGGCGGGTTAAAGCTCGAGCTTCTCGACCGCGGCCGTGGAGAAACGAGGATAAGTACCCAACGGGAAGGTCAGGTTCTCTCAACCACATCGGCCCGGTTGGCGCAATGGTCGCGTGTTCGCCTCCTATCTGAAAAGGAAGCTCTTGAAAAGCGAAAAGCTTTATAGCGAAAGGTTGTGGGTTCGAGTCCCACATCGGGTGCATCATTTTTGCTGCGCCCATAGAGGGCGCTACCAGAGGAGTTTTGTTCTTAATTATAAGTAGCGGGTTAAACCATGAGCCCTCTTCTTCCTTTTGGTTGGTGTGCTTGCTCTCATCTGACGCCGTCGTCGTTCAGATCAGGACTGCGTGGTGAGTGCTGGCGGCAGTGCACGCTTGTGGGCTACAGAGAAGTTGGAAAATGTCAGGTAGTCGGGAGCTATGAAGCAGTTGACGGAGACAAATGTGAGGCCGAGATCCACAGGTACAGAAAGCTTTAGAGATGATGCAGGCCACGAGCTGTAGGGAGTTACGAAAAAGTCCAGGGGATTGTGAAGACAGATGTTTTGTAAGGAGTTGCAAAGGTGGCGAGGGTGCTTAAAGTTATAAGGAGAGGCCGAATGCTGCTGGGGCCGTGGGGCTAGGGGCAAAGCCAGACTATAGACTTGAAGTAATTGTTCATAGTATAAAAGATGTGGAATGAGAGACGACGGAGATCTGGAAGAGCTCACGGACAATCACCGTCAAGAGGAGATTACAATGCTGCCGATGGATGGAAAATCATTTTCGGATGTTGCAAGCAGGTAATACGCAACAAGTGTCTGTTGCGTCGGGGATGTGGGATCCAATACGGACACAATGAAAGCATACCATAGGCAGCTCTCGTACCAACGTCAAGACCAGCCGACGTATTACAACCGTTACTAGAGATGACATCGTGCATGAGAACAAACATGGACACAGACGTGATGGAAGAAGCGGACTCATTTCATTTGCTCGTTTCGCCAATCTCATGCCATGCTGTACGATACCATGCCATGGCCACGCCATACCAGGACTATGTAGGCTCCTGGGCTGTGACGAGGCCGGAGAGATCAATAAGAGCAAGGGGCCTATAAAAAAGAGGCACATGTATGGTTGTGAAGATCAGTCACCCTACCCTTCAAATGGGCTCAGCCCTAACCACTTGCCCCATGGCTCGCTCCCTTGGTGCCATGTACCACGGTATTATGAAGTTCCCAGTTCGTTGCTCGTCAGTATATCCTGTACAGAAAGAAAAGCAGGCGTTTTCGCGGTCATACGGTAGAGCTCATGCGTAGCTATAGTTTGTCTTCGGGGGTGTGTAGTCCTCGAAGTAGGGGTGGTTGCAGGCCGCCTTGGCAGAGATGCGACCGGCCGGATCATAGACGAGCATCATCTCCAGCAAGTCGAGGCCGTGCTCGTCGAGGTTTTGGCAGAGAGGCTGACTGTGATTGCGGGACCACTTAGGAAACGAGGACTTGAAGTCTGGGTAGCTAGTCACACCGGGCCATTTATCCTCAGTGGGCGTTCCCAAAATCCTACAGATCCGTGTCAGTGGGATTCGAGCTTCAGAGCGAGTTCCCGTGGAACGTAACTTACCGGAAAATCTTGAAGATTTCGTCAATCTCCGAATCACCTGGGAACAACGCCTTACGGGTGCACATCTCGGCAAATATGCAGCCTACCGACCACATATCCACGCCTGTGGAGTATTGCCGACCACCCAGCAGGATCTCTGGAGCACGGTACCACAGCGTCACAACCTCGTGGGTGTAGGTTCGGAGGGGCACTCCAAAGGCACGGGCGAGACCGAAATCCGCCAGCTTGAGGTTGCCGTCGCGGTTGATCAGGAGGTTCTGGGGCTTCAAATCGCGGTGAAGGACTCGGTGAGAGTGGCAGAACCTAATGCCATTGCAGAGCTGGCTCATGAACTTCTTGATAATGTCGGCTCCCAGTCCCAATTGCGCTAGCTCTGCGTGTGTGCCCTCGGGCAGAGCCCTGCCGCGACCGCCGTCGGAAACTGGCAGGGCCTCCATGTATTTCTTGAGGTCGAGGTCGAGAAACTCAAAGACGAGGTAGAGCTTGTGACTGTCGGCGTGTACGATATTAAGCAGACGGACTATGTTGGGATCACGCATCTCCTTGAGCAGTGATATCTCACGGATGGCTGTGGAGGGAACGCCTTCATCTTCAGCCTCGAGTCTGATCTTCTTCAATGCGACGATTCGGTTGTCGTGGAGAAGATCACGAGCTTTGTAGACAACACCGTATGTTCCTGTTAGGTGCAAGAGAGGTCAGTAAAGAGCGTGTGCTAGTGGGATGCAACGAAGATGCATGTTCTTGTACTTGCCCTCTCCGATCTTCTCCAGCTTTTGATAGTTCTCCATCCTGCTTGTATTTCCTATTTCACTAGTCAGACAGCTAGCCACAACATAAGTGTTCGGCGCACAAGCTATTTTTCGTTTCGAGGTGTTGCACAAGCAGTCGAAGTGCCTGGAGGGTTGAAGAGACCCAGACGAGTCCAAGTGGCAAGATAGGTCGTAGTACTGTTCGCTGCCCGGGGCAATTATCTCCCTGTTCGGTATCGTTCTTTCATGGAGGCTTCGGCAGTCGTTAATTAAGCTGCAATGCTGTGGCTTTCGTTCCCTGTGGGATCTACTGCGGTGCCTGCAGTAGGGCGGGGTTCCCTGGCCGTGGTTGGTGCCTCCCGTTGCTATCGTTGTCGATTCATGGATGGAATGGAGTGCGGTCTGGATCCGGAGACTCAATTGCGACAAGACATGGGGAAATGAGGGGCAGGTTGGAGAGATAGTGCCATTAGAGTGTAAGGAAACAGAAGGTGGCGGTGAAATACCTGAATACCTGGGAGTGTCTCAAATCAAACTCGTGCTGTATTGTCTGCCTCCCTTCCGGAGATGCTTCCGTGAGGTTCCTCGACTCGTCTGGTCTTGATTGGGTTTCGAATGGCCAGGCAAAACAACATGCGATCTTGAGAGGGCTGTTTATTTGCTAGTCGAATCGGTCCACAGCACTGTAGTAGTATTCGGTCGATATGCCTTTCGATGGAACAGCCAGGTGGCCCAATGCGAGTCGTGACAAAGAGGTAAAAAGACACAACAGAGGGAGTAGAGAGAGGAAGCTGGCAGTAACGTCGGCGGAATGGGTTGTTTAGCGGAAACGCGGTTGACGTTTACTTGGACGCGTCGCTGTTCATTGATTGGGAGAGCTGAATTTGGGGTTTCCAAAGTTGACTTGGGAAGGTTTCTAGGGTGATTGATTGATTGATGGTGGGGGCAACGCTACAGAAAGCTTATCGATAAACGCCTGCCAGGGGTCGGGGGGTGTCAAGGGTGCTAAGGGTGCAGGCGTTTTAGGCGTGTTAGGCGTTGTCAGGGGTGTGAGATCGCCCTTAATTACCCTAACCCAGCAGCAAGCTGCATTGTCTTTCCCAAGACTTGGATGGACCTCGGCACCCCAGCACCCCAGCATCCCGGCACCCCGGCATCCTGGCGCTGTTGCCCGCTGTCGGTCCCGGTGGCCTGCGAGATCTCATCCGGATCTTTAAGAATGTTTCATCGACTATTCAATTCGCCCGAGTATACACCAACCCCAACTTGCAATTCAGCCTCGGCCCTCTCAGATCTTGAGGAGTCTGCCCTTGACATTGGCACAGGATATACCCACCAGACCAGTAGACAAAGAAAAAAGACCTGGAACAGCAGACGGATATGACGGTGGACCTCACCACCTTGGATGCCCATGAGCAGCCCTCCGACCATCTCAGGGCGATATGGAAGGGATACGCCAAAACTGAGCAGGCCGATCTCCTCAGCAGTGGCGATATCGACGATGTTTTAGTGCCTGAAAAGGCTGCAGAACTCAAAAAGGCTGCAAGTTTTCCCGCAGAAAAGTTACGAACAGCATTCTCACGCCTCGCTGGAGATGACCCGTCCGTCCCCCAAGTGGAGGAAGACGTCGATATCCTCTATCATCCCCTCTTACCAGGTAAGCTCAGGAAAACCCTCGACTCCAGGCAGGAAGAAGAAGTCATCTTGTTTCTGACTGAGTATCAGGACTTCTCATAATCCCATCTCTGATTCCACCAAGCATACAAAAGTCTCTCCTATCCCGTCTTCTACATCGGGACCTGAGCGAACCGCACCATCAGACCAACCTGCATCTGCACCATGACCTTCCCTACCCGGAAAGGGACCCCGTCACCAATGCTCCTCGGTCTTTCTTTACTCACCCACCAGAGTCGGACATCAAGTTCATTCCCAAGGACCCATCAGTGCACAAGCCCCTCTCCATGAGGCAGGTCATGGAGCGGCGCCTGCATTGGGTCACGCTCGGCGGCCAGTACGACTGGACGAATCGAGTCTACCCGGGCGAGGTACCGCCGTCCTTTCCTGAAGACGTGGGCAGCCTCCTTGAGACGCTGTTCCCAGAGACGCAGGCGCAAGCGGCCATCGTCAACTTTTACACGCCTGGTGATACTATGATGATGCACCGAGATGTGTCTGAGGAGACAGACAAAGGGCTTGTGAGCATCAGCATGGGCTGCGATGCGCTGTTCAGTAGGTCTACTCCTTCGGCTTAACTCGTCCTCACCCTACCCTGCTTCTGGTCTTTGCATACCTAATTCAGGGTACTTGATCCTGACTCCTGACCCCAGTGATCGCACCCAACGACGTAGGAAAGATGTCCGAGGAAGAACGACCTGCCGAGGGGGAAAAGCATTACCTACTACTTCGGATACGGTCTGGCGATGCCATTTACATGACACAGGAGTCACGCTATGCATGGCATGGAGTACCCAAAGTGCTCAAGGAAACGTGTCCGGAATATCTCCGGGACTGGCCGGCAGAGGACGGCAAATATGAGGAGTGGCGTGGTTGGATGGCGAACAAGAGAATCAATCTGAATGTGAGGCAGATGAGAGACTGATTCGACGCTTCCAATTTCGGGGTCCCGATGTCCATGATACCCACAAGGATAGTTAGCAACATCACGAGGCCCCGGGGGTCATGTTGCATATTTGATGGTGTGCTGTGCAGAATGCGATGGCGGTCGGACGATTTGGCCCTTCAGAGTTTACACTGCCTACTCACGCGGCATGCAGTACTCTCGCACGGTGGTATGGTCAGCCTCGTGATAAGTGATGAGGATGATACCTCAACCTGGTATCCAATGCGCGAGAT